GTACTAACGCCTAACATTGTACTGTGGTGATGTTTTTGGAGTTCGTACATCTAAACGGATTGTAGCACAGCAATTTTGAAGGTTCTGTTTCGTTTTTTTTTTTTCAGCCTTATTTCTTTTGAGCGCCTTGAAAACTATGTATGAATATTTGCACTTTGTGTCGTAATGTTGTTATTGTTGTTATGTGTCTTTGTATTGTTTTTTTTTTTCTTGCTGGTTTTATTGCTGTATCTGTTGCCGTTGCTGTTTTTGTTGCTGCTGCTGATGTTGTTAATTGTATTCGTTTTAAAGTTACATTTAGGCTATTGTTATTGTCATTGTTATTGTTGTTATTATTGTTAATGATATCGTTATTGTTGTTATTATTGTTAATACCATTGTTATTATGTATATCAAGCGGGATATCAAACCATCAAATTTTATGTTTGTAATTGTTTTTATTATCATTATTTCTGTGATATTTATGTTATGTTGTTGTTATTGTTATTATTGTTACTGTAGTCATCATTATTGATATTGATGTTATGTTGTTGTTATTGTTATTATTGTTACTGTAGTCATTATTATTGATATTGATGTTATGTTGTTGTTATTGTTATTATTGTTACTGTAGTCATTATTATTGATATTGATGATATGTTGTTGTTATTGTTATTATTGTTACTGTAGTCATTATTATTGATATTGATGTTATGTTGTTGTTATTGTTATTATTGTTACTGTAGTCATTATTATAGATATTGATGTTATGTAAATCAACCAAACTGATTTGTTGTTACCTTATTTTGATTAGGCCTATGAAAATAACACTCATTTATTTTATCATTTGTATTGTATAAAATTTTTTTTTTCAGGGAATGACACAGAGCATGATAGGTTCGAACGCAGACAATGAGGATTTCCATCCCAGTATAACGCCAATAATTCTGGCTGCACACACAAATAATCATGATATTATTAAAGTAAGTGCAATCATGACGTTTATGAAGTAGACTTAAATATAAGGATGACTTAAACATTTTTATTTCGTTTATCGATTTCATTCAATTTACCTCACAACATGAAAGTCATGTCACAATTGAAATATGAGTAGTTATTGTTTTAGTTTACTGACAATTTGCTGTAGCCATGGAGATAATTCCTTGCTTGATCGGACTAGTCTTAATAAGAATATGCCTGAATTATGCCGGTTGGAATTGTAAGCAGGTTACACTAAACGTTTACTCAGAGCCGTTAATTGTTTTGTTTAAAGCAAATTTACCGTAATAGTTAGACTACAATCTTCTAGCTAATCATAAGATCAAATGACCCATCATTGTTCGACGGCAAAAGTATCTACAGTAGGCCTATATACGACTGTACAATGATAGGCCTATGCTAACACATTGCTATCACCTTTTTCATTAAAACAATTATTTGATAAAACAGCATGTAAACAGATTAGTATTAAATTTATATTGGCCTAATCAATTATGAAAATTATTATCATCAACTTTAATTAACTTTTATTATATTTATTATTATTATTATTATTATTATTATTATTATTATTATTATTATTATTATTATTATCATCATTATTATTACTATTATTATTAGAGTGAATTTTTTTCCCTACATGACATGTTATCGTACAGAACACTCAGTACGCTCCAAAATACTTGCGAAATAAATCGCACAAGTGATTCGGGTAAGATTCGAACCCACGACCTCCAGAACTAGCCAGTAACTTGAGATTTTTTCGCAAGTATTTTTGGGAACGTACCGTACTGAGTATTCAGTAAGTTAACACGTCAGTTAGGGCAAAACATCACTCCTATGATTATTCCTGACCAAAACACACACTTTGAATTATTATTATTATTATTATTATTATTATTATTATTATTATTATTCCTGTATCTAGCCTACAGATAGAATGGCACGCAAAACTTTTATCAAATGTTATTTATTTCATTTTAAACAATAATGTTTTCAGTTTTAATCGGATACACAAACTATAATTATATTTTATAACTTTCGTTACAGATGCTTTTGCAACACAAAGCCACCATATCAGACCCATGGAAGAATCTTAAGAAAGATCGACAGAAACATTCAGTGCAGTATTCGCTAGGCCTGCTTAACATTTACAAAGCGCTAAGCAGTGAGTTCTACATCTCGTTAACCAGCGAGGATCCTATCGACAAGTCATTTGAGCTGTACAAGAAACTTAAACTTTTGGCACGAATGGAATATGAGCACAAATCGGAATATGAAACACTAGCCGAACAGGTATGATTATGCGATGTAGACTGGACTATTCGTCCATAGTAATTTGGGAAAATGTTATATTTCATGTAGGCACAAAAAATTAATATATTATTCATTTATGCATGTGTGAGTATACAACCATATGGTGTATTTTGGTGTGCGTTTATTATTATAATGACATGCCCGCGTTACAATTAAATTACAAACAATTTGGAAGTGCCATTAAAACATTAAATAGCATTACAGTTTCCAATAATTGTTATTGTTCGTATAGAAAGATTAAACGTTACGGTACTTACCTGAAATGAAGTTTGATCATCATTGAACTACAGTAATGGTAGTAGTAGAAATTATGTGATGCCAGCTTTGCGCATGCGTGCATCATTTTTGAAATTGAGTTGTCTACAGAGTAAATTATAAATAAGTAATGTGCAACCTAAAAAATCGACAATGCTTAATGTGAAGATCCATACACAAAGTATGGATGGTCGAGGATGGTCACACTATCTCTACCTACTATTAACACTTAATGAAATGAAGATCAAACTTCAACATATGTAAGTTATCGTTTAATTTTTATATTTTTATCTTGTAATACGTTGCTGTAGATCAAACGCAGGCGGTATATGTTCCAACATTAGGTATTAGACTCTAGTATTTAATGGTTCCAAGATAATACATTCTTTCTTGTTCCTTCTGTTCCTTCTCCTTTTGATTGCCCAAGACTTAAACAGTGTATTTAAACACAATACTGTTGCACATTTGGTTTTTTTTTATATATTTCAATCTATTCATCTCTAGTGTTCTATATTTATGAAATATTCTTTATCCCTTTTTAGTAGCAAAATGGAGAGTACCAAAGGTGTATTGCACAAAACGCTGTGTATTATACAAGAAATAACATTCATAATTTAAAGGCTTTCTTCTGTTTAGTTATTATATCTTAACAGTTGTGGATTGATATTTCCATACTATATCTGATTCTTTATATAACTAAAAAAATGACACTAAACCAGGTGAATTCACGAACATTAAATCTATTTATACTTTGATGATCCTCTGTATTTAGCAAATCAGTGCTTCTATCACACACAAACATGTAGAAGGGATATGTTTCTAAATTCATTTCCGAACAATGATTTTCAGACTGACTTTGTGTATTCAATTTTGATAATGAAATATACTTCTATAATCCCAATAAGTAAACATTTTAAATCCTGGTTACTCATATCATTTCTGAATACGCATAATTTAGATATTAAGTCTCATAATTTCAGTTCATGTGGAGAATATCTCGCCACCGTTGCGCCGGAGGCTATAATCTAAAGTGTGAAATTAATGCATAGGAGCTATTTTACTTATTCCGTTCCAACACCAATGAGGTTAATGAGCTTTTCTGTTGTATATCTAGCACGGTAACTAATAGCAGAATAGGTCACTTAAGTTAAGTTACAGTTCTACATGTATTGTGTTTTACATGCATGCATTAGATTAGTTTTACCATTGGCGATAGCATTCAAAATCAGTATTGAATACGGTATGTAGTACTTCCGCCCCGGGACTTCCACCGAGTAAACTACCGACAGGATGACAGTTGGATTGGATTTATTCTGCCTAAAACGCACCACCCATTAGGCCTAACACTCGAAAGTCCGAAGATACCAAGCAGGTCATCAGATTGTTTGGCTTAAAGTTTCATTTCATTTCATTATTTATTTGGTCATTTACAACAACAACAACAAAAAGCTGGAATTTGGGGAGACCAGGGACAACCAGAGTGAACCAAATCACTGTAGCAAAGCCGGTTTACCCAACCCCAAATTCAGCAACACATTAAAAGATCAAACATTACAGCGAATCAAAATACAAAGAAACCTTACGAAGAAAAGAGGATGGGCTTTCTAAAACTGCAGCATCAGTTAACAATCTAGGGAGCTGGTCCCGGACACGAGGCAACCTGATGGCTACCGAGTTGTTAAATGCTTGGGTCCTTTATGCTTGGTGACGGAAACACAATGAGGGCCGGGCTTCAATAGGTTAATGAGTTGGCTTCAAAGGTTAAGGAACGTAATCTTGATTAATCTAAGTTACGTAAAGTTGAATAAACGTTGATGTCAGTGGCAGAAGGATTATGGGTGTTTTTCATACATCCGTCGATAAAAATTGACTTGAGGCAACATCATTTCTACTCCAGAGAGATGTGTTTTTCAAAATCTCCGATGTTCAAGTGTCCGTGATTGTCTATTAACAATTTGGATTCGTAATGCCTGCGCTAAAACATTCATTGTCATTGATGATAGAAGAAATTTCCATGTGTAATCACTTTGCCGACGTTAAATTGGTCTACTGTATTCATTTTGCGCCAACTGGTGCAAGTCAAGGGTCAATTGATCCAACAAAGCGTGCCCACTGATCTACGCAGCCAATCTCACAAACATCACGTACCGGTAACCTCGTATTGCGACACTAAATATTCAATATGGTTATTGATCTTACATACATTATGTTAATGTTAACCTTGGATTTGATTGGATTTATTCGGTGTAAACACCAAGGATAGCCCACGAAAGTCTAGAAGAAGACTTATTTCCATTGGGGTCCTTCTGGTGGTGATTGGGCAGTACACCGGGGGACAATCCAATACTCTTTTCCGAAGAGTGTACTGCGTTCTTTAACGTGCACATGGGCCATCGATGCACACGGGACCAACGGCTTAAACGTCTCATCCGAAAGACGGTGCGCTATTATAACGTGTAGGCCTATTTCAGCCCTCCAGCTGAAATGCGAGGAGAGGCAGCGATGGGAATTGAACCGAGGACCTGAGATCTCCACTGTTCAGCGCACACACAGTAGCTACCACCAGATTAGCGGACTGAGCTAAGCTGCTCTCTAATAAACCTCATGTTTATGTTTTTTTCTATACTTTATATTTTCAATCAATGCACGTGTTTGTTATGACGTGTCATTTCGATAATGTGGTGTATATATGGTCCGATAATATTTAGATCTCAATATTAAAAAAAAAATCAATAAGAATGATTGAAACAGAACATAAATAAGTATATAAATAAAATTACTAATTATAAAAATATGATAATGATTATGACTGGATGGCGAAAAACTTGGCAAATAATTGCTTAACCAATTAATATGCACGCTATAGAATAGGGCTTATATGTTCATAAAGATGGCTGTAACTTAACAGGAAACTAAGATTGATATAAGGTCATATCAATTATGTAAATTATATTTGCTATAGGTTGAACTATGTTAGAAATTCATATGAAATATGTAAATATAGGCCCTATATTTGTTAGGCCATATAACAAAATTACTAGTTTCTCGTCTCCTCGCTCTTCCATTTTCTCTGCCTCACCATTTTTTAAAATTATTTTATTATATTACCTTTATTGTAAGTAATGGAAAATCTGGCTAACTCACATCAGTAAAATTCCTCTCTCGATCGTTCGTGGTTAGGGATACATATGGTATGAATCGGTCTAGTGCTAACTTTATTATAATATATTTATTTTATTTGCTTTCAATGTGTCTACTTGGTAAAAGTGAGAAAGTAGAAGCTGTTTCCCATCAACCATCTTGGATTTTCCATTCTTCTTTTTTTTTTTTAAATATTAGGACGCTAAACTACTCTTTTTTTTTTAACTTGGCCTTATAGGTTGAGTTATACGCAGCTGAGCTTCTGGGACAGACGAGAAACAGAAAAGAGCTGACAACCGTGCTGACCCATGACAGTGCCGAGTGGAACAAATGCCCTGAAGTTATTGAACTGAAACAACCACTCAAAGTCCTTAAAGCTGTGACGTACTACCAGAAGCGAGTGAGTAAAATACAATATCTTTTATTACATGTCTATTTCGATCAAAATTGTAGCCACCACCTAAGCACACCATCATATTATAGCATAAAAATAATTTTTTTGATTCATTTATCCGAAATCAAAATCAACATGCGGTAACTTTATAAAATTGATAACAAAAAATAAAACAAATGTACGCAAATTTTGTAAAATCGATAAAAATTTAGAACAGATATAAATGAACAAAAAACCTTTAAAAAAATGAAACAGTTTAAAATTTGATATATAGGCCTACTCCAAAAAAATATATTATTTTTCCCATCGCACTATTAGATATGAATTATAGCTAGTTATAATAATAATTTTTAACATTATTATATTTTATCTTTTTTTTTTAAGTTCGTAGCTCATCCACACTGTCAAATCCTATTGACTGACAGATGGTACAAGGGCCTGTCAGCTGAGTGGCGAGCGAACCGGTCATTTAAAGGCATCCTGCTTACTGCGATCACATGCATATTGTGGCCGTTGTGGTCACTGTTTTACCTAGCTGCACCGTTAGGTAGAATCTCTACTCTTATGCGAACTCCGTAAGTGTAGTAAGACGCATCTTTATATAATCATGAACTGACAATACTTGGTAGATTTGTTTCAATCCATACATTCTGTCACTAAATAGTAAAAAATAAATAAATAATACACAACAACAATAACAATAATAATAATAATAATAATAATAATAATAATAATAATAATAATAATAATAATAATAATAATAATAATAATAATAATAATAATAAATTAAGTACTTGCTTAACGTCTTAACGCCGAGTAATCTGCTAATTTCTCATCCTAGGCTACCTTGTTATTCGTTGGTGTCAATGACCAACTTTATGAACCTTTTTTCATCGTCTTGTAAGGACTTACCTTTTTATGTCGTTGAGTGTAACCGAAAGGGTGTGTTAAGGACTGCCACAGTATTTTGTGTGTGTGTGTGTGTTGGTGAAATAGAATTGTAACGCTAAATTTGCTGGGGTATTTCTATTTTCTCTTTGGACATGTCCGAAATGTCACATTACGCCTCTTTGATTCGACAATCTATATATAAAATACAGACATTTCAATGGCTATATTAATTAAGTCGTACAGGAACTACCGTACTAATCGGAGCGTTACACATTTTGGTTGTAGAGTACTGTACACTTATAATAGACAACCGATGTTTAACAAACATTAGATAACAACGATATAATATTTTTTGAACAACGATATGATAATGTATTTGTCTTTTTCCCGAAGGTATATCAAGTTTCTTATGCACACGTCGTCGTATGTTACATTCTTGGTTTTGCTTGGTTGCGCCACCAGCGATGTCCAAGCGTTTCAATTTCCGAACATCACCAGTAATGAGGGTTGTACCTCTACTCAAAAACTAACAGAGCAAGAGCACGCTCTACGCGTAAGAGGACGCAAACCAACGATTATACAAGTGTTTATCATGAGTTGGATTATCGGTATGTTATGATGATTATAATAGAAATGATTATGATGATGATTTTGACAATGACAGAGAAGCCCTCTGTCCAGGCAATTTTGATTTGTTTGTTTATCAATTTATATACTTTTTGTTTCTCAGGTATGACCTGGCGTGAAGTCAAAGAGTTATACAGAAATGGCATCAAAACGTATGTAAAAGATATGTGGAATTTTATCGACCTGTTTCAAATGATTTTATACTGGTGTTGGATAGCCCTCAAGTTTGTGTCAATCAGAAAGGTCAGTAAAACGAATAATCAATGGGCGTATTCGACTGGCTCATTTCGTTGAGTACGAATTTTCGTTGAGTATTATTTTCATTCGACTGGTTCGTTAAATAGACTTCGTTTCCAACGAAAATTAACGTAAACCAGAGCGTAAATCAGCGTTAAGTTATCCACGTGACCAAAAAAAAAACACCTAACATTTGCGTTATAAACTTAGATTAAATTTCATAAAATAAAAATTATAATATTTAAACACATGGAGTCAAAAAATAATTGTAGTCTAACAGAATTTAAAAACTGGATGAAAATAATTTTTTTTTTCGAAAAACCCATATTACCACAAGTTGAAGCAATCTTGATTACGTAACGTGTATCGCGGTAACTATACAGACATTTTGTTTTGTCGAGTATATACAAGTGTTCTATTCGACTGGTCGTCTTCGTTGTTGAGTAGGATTTTACCGCTGCGCATGTGGGCGTGGTTTAACGAAGAACGACCAGTCAAATACGGCCAATGAGAATTATTTCTTTAATATGGTTACAATTATAATGTTGTTGTTGTTGTTGTTTATGATGATAATGATGATGGTAATTAATAGTTTGTTTATTTTCAATTCTGTAGGCATCGGGAACCGATGAGAATTTACATCGAAGTCAGTGGCCAGTTTACGATCCAAATATCGTGGCTGAGGCCATGTTTGCTGTAGCGAATATATTTAGCTTCTGCAGGTCGCTGCGGCTCATCGTGATCAGTGATCAGGTCGGACCGCTTCAAATATCATTAGGAGGCATGATCGATGACATTGCACGGTAAAAAAAATAACCATTGTTCACAAAAAGCAATTATAGTTTATAGATTACTGAAAATATTTTAATGAAAAACGATGAAAATAGTTATAAAAATTATTTTGTATTTATAGTATTTAAAGGAATCGTTTTATTTATATGCCTTAAAGAATAAGTATCAATTATCAAAGTTTATTTAGGGTATTAATTATTAATTATCAAAGTTCACACAAACGGCGTTCGCTATATTAACGCTGGCGTTAAACTAGTAGTAATATAGGCCTATGGGGAATATTTTTCTGTTTTATATAATGTACGGGTTCTTAACTGTAGTAAAATTAACAGTGCATCATTAAAACTTTTAAATCTGTGATTTGTTCGGAGTGAACTTATATGATTATTGTATTTTAAATGAACAATTTTACTTCTGATTTTTCAGCTAGCATTGTGGAACAGTTGTTGTTGTTGTAGGTTTTAATAGACAGTCTAAATAGGTTAAAGTATCTTACAAAACACAATCAACAAATCTTTTAACTTATAAATTATATATAAGTAAAAAGCAATAGAAAAAGAACCCCTTTACCATTTCATTTATAGAGAGCACAGGAAAGAGATCAAAGTAACCAATCTATTGCAATCGTGATTGGTCAACCTCTTGAAATGAGGTCAAAGCATTCAAGCATCACTGGCGCTAGCTCCGTGGCGTTAGCTAATCTGGGGTCTGCAGGTAGCGTTAATAACGCCACGGAGGTGGCGTTGTGAGTGGTTTAAGTAACGGCACTGCCTAGTTCACACACAAAGGCGTACACTACGCCAGGCTTACGCCAGCCTTACGCCGTGTGTGTGAACATAGCCTTAGTGTGTACGTGCTGTTAGCGTTGGTGCATCATTCAGTTCTTTTCATAATGTTCGCCAACGACCTGTCTTTGAGTACTGCCGACCTTGGTTTTCTCTCTGATTTTATTTTTGTTTTTGGATGTCAATTTTTAAATGAAAATCAAAATCTATGTATTTTTAATTGCGTCGAGAAATTTCATTGTCAATAGGTTTAAGTCTATTATGTAAGTTTAAATAGTAATTGATTAGCTTCATTTGGTCTTGATTTGAATTTTCTTTTTTCAATAAAACGTCTATGTTAAAAAACAAGCAATTTTGCTTCTGTGCAAAAGGAAATTAAAATCGAAGTTTTAATGTTATAATATGCATTTGATGGATGGTGTACTGCCACCGTTATTGCTGATTATGGTTATTTTCTGTGGTAACTTGTATCTAAGGCTGGGCCTTGTAAGGTGCCACTAAGGAATATATTGAATTAAAAACATGGTTGGTTAGTGTGACTGGCTCTCCAAAAAGACCCGTTAGGAAAGTTCTGTATAGCACCTTCCTAATAATAGGCCTACACCTGCTTATTCTGAACTAATTCATAATGTACCATACTTCTGTTTTGAAGGGAAAATAACAATATATCATTAATAAAATTAAGTGTGTTTTTACTTACTGTAAAAAAGTTAGAAAGTTGTAATTTTATAATTCCTTTTTTTCAGATTTCTGTTCATATTCACCTTGGTGTGGGTTGCGTTTGCACTTGGTTTGACGCAGCTCTACTGGCCATATTCACCAGAAGAAATATTGGAATGCATAGCTACTGGGAAAATGGACACAGACGATTGCAAAGAGATGCCGTTTGGAATGTTAGTGACTTTTAATTTGAGTTTATTGCACTCAGTGCGCACCATACCAAATTTAATTGGCGTCCCATAATGAAACAAGAGCGACCACTCACAGGTCCGGCACGTTCCTCCATGCTTAAATACGGTACAGGCGCAAGGTTATTTCGAAGAGCTAATAAGATAGAAATTTTTAAATAATTAGAATATTTATTTGTACAAAAATTTTTTATTTAGAATGATCATTTGTACAGAATTAAAATAAATAAGTAAATTGGGGGGAAATTTGAATACCAAGACGCATTTCGAACTCACGACCTTAAGTTCTTTAGAACACATCCTTAACCGACCGCGCCATTCATGCGATGTTCCCTATTAGTGGTAATGGCAATAATGTACAGTAATTTTTAAATAATTAGAATGTTATTTGTACAGGAAAGAAAAACATTATTTAGAATAATCATTTGTACAAAATTAAAATACTTCAAATTGAAAAAAAAAAAAAAAAAAAAAAAAAAAAAAAAAAAACTTTCTTAAAATTGGAATTTGGAATTTGGTAACAAGAACAACAACAAGAGCAAGAACAGCAGTAAGGCTCTGGGTCAGCGCTTCGCGCAGACCAAACAGGGGACTTGTTGCCCGTGTATTAATTCGTGTTTGTTCCCTTTCAGGTTTAGTCACTCTATGGAAACGCTTTTTTGGGCGTTATTCGGACTGGAAGATTTAAGTGTTTTGCAGAGCGGCTCGACGCATATCTTCACAGAGGGTGTAGGTCGCATCATCTTTGCCCTGTATTACGTCTGTGCAGTTGTTATCTTGCTGAATGTGCTTATCGCTATGATGAGTAGTACATTTAGTAGAGTAGAGGTAAGTTAGCGAAATCAATAAAGTTGTCTCTGAATTGGTATTGAAAATGATACGAAGTCAGACAACATAGACCTAGTATGGTGACGACAGATTGACGATGAACATAATGATAAAGGCGACAACGAATGATCTTCATCACCATCATCATTATCACGATCATCATCACCACCATCATCATCGTCATGGTAACATTTGTTCATTATATTAATTATAAAATATGTGTTACTGGGGCAGATGCAGGATTTGGCGGTAGGGGATGCGTGCAAAAATTTGAAGAAATAGTACCTGTAGATGAAATGACACATTTATAATAGTAAAATTCATAGAAAATCACATCACTATATCACCACATAGTCAAAATGAAGCGCCAATACATTTTCATGATCTTTTTTTAATCGGCGATTTTCAGCAACCATAGAGATATAAGTAGCATGTGTGATGAACCAAGGAAAATATAACTTAAAAACATTCTCTTTGATGTATTTACTTTATCTACTTCAAAGCAGTGAGTACACAACTACCTCAGCCCCAACCATGGTGGGTGAATGAGAAAATTTGAGGAAATAGTACCTTTAAAGATGGCCGGAAATGACACTTTTATATAGTAAAATTCATCATCATCACACCATCATGTCTAGATGAAGCGCCAGCAAATTTCTCATGATTTTTAATCGGGGATATTCGGCAACAACAGAGATCTAATTATTATGAGTGATATACTGCGCCCATGGGTCCGTGAAGAGTCCACATCACCTCAGCTCCAACATGGTTGGGGCTGAGGCGCGAACATTTTGAGAATATCGAGCTCTGGGTGCCAGGAAATTGCACTCTCATACCTTAAAAATCTTACCAATAATTCATATCAACAATATAATACAACAATTATTTTTCTTAATAGAATTTAGGGGGTGCGACCGAACCCTCTGCACCCCCTGCATTCCCCCCAGTGTTAGATATTGAACTCCTGTAATGCCATTGAGGAAGGACTTGGGGTCTATTTTTATTTCTTTCTTAACTTAGCTTACATTTTAGCTGTTCAAATTACTCGGTTCGGTTACTGTATCAAATTTGTACCTCTATTGAGATCCAGCCATTGATTCCCACAGCATTGGTGTTTTTCAGTACAGTAGAACCATATTAACGAGACACCTTTCGGGATCAAAAAATAATATGTCCCCTTGAGGGTGTTAAAAGATATATTTATCCCACTTTAAGGCCAAAAAAGTTAATAAGAGTGTCCCGAAGTGGATTCTACCAGCGGCGACGCCAGGAATTCCCAACGAGGGGTCCAAGCTCCCTGACAAGGGAATAAAAAAGTAAAAAAATAATAAAATGTGTTCATTATGGGAATCTTTATCTAAAAAGGATAATTTGATAGAAAACCATGCAAGTTGCTGCTAATACGATCGCAATAGTAAACAACACCTCTCGCACATACGGTACCGGTAACACTGCTTGCACTATAAAGTTTTTAATCCATAATATTTGACAGCTTAGTAAGGCATGCTTGAATTGTATTTTCAGCGCTCGAGATATGATTTTTCCCCGACGACCTTGCTGGAAATTCCCCGATAGGGGGTCCAAGCATGGATTCCAGAGGTCTCCGACGGGGGTCTCTCCCGGACCCCTGTTCTACTGTAGTTTGCCTTTATGCATGTATGATTAATCAATTATTAGTAGAACAGG